CCTCCAGCTTTTCCGCTGGAACCCGCCGCTTAAAGGTGGGTGCGTCCGCGACCGGCCATAGAGCCCATAGAGTTAAAGGTGTTGGCGTTAGCTGTAAAAATCCCACACACACACACCGCACCGTTATATAAGCCGCAGCGTCGAAAAATAGGGAAAAAGGCGCGGCTTATAGTCCGAAAATTACGGTAATTGTTTTTGTTACTTTCGTTGCAGTTGTATGTGTTAAATATAATGTAAATGTTGCCTTCGTGTGTGGTTCGGGCCATCTTCGTGCGAAATTCACAATTCCATATTCGTGTGTCCATCGGGTGTCAATTTCGGGACAGTGTGACGCGGGCTTAACTAATATCATGTTTCTGGTTTGTCTTTTAATTGTAACTCTTAACTTTTCAGGCGAAGCTGGATGAGGCTGTTTCCTTGGCGACAGGTTTCCAGACCTCTCTGCAGGACACCATCAACTGGCTGACCCAGGCTGAACAAACCCTCAACATGGCCCAGCCCCCCAGCCTCATCCTGGACACAGTCCTCTTCCAGATCGATGAGCACAAGGTACTGGACATCCCTCTCTCACTAGAAACATGTTTAAGATATCTAAGCCACCGTTACACTATCCCTGACTCGTTTTCCCAACGTCCTCACAGGTGTTTGTGAATGAGGTGAACACCCACAGAGAGCAGGTCCTGGCTCTGGAGAAGGCCGGCTCTCAGCTCCGCTTCGCCAGCATGAAGCAAGACGTGGTTCTCATCAAGAACCTGCTGCTCAGCGTCCAGGCCCGCTGGGACAAGCTGGTGCAGAGGTCCCTGGACCGCGGCCGACACCTCGACGAGGCCCGCAAACGCGCCAAACAGGTACTGAACAAGTCATACTGACAGTGGCAATGAAATGCAAGTTAATGTATGTTGCACATTTCAGCAAAAAGTTATTTAAAATACCTGTACAATCAACTTTGAAAGCATAGAGACAATAAGCCAAGGTAAAAACACAAAAAAAGGACAGTCGAGAATCCAAAACTCAATAAAGATCATAGGAAATGAACGTAAGCTGAACTCAAATAAGATGGGTATAAAAACGGGTACAAGAATATATAAAAAGCTGTTGTTGTCTCATGAAGACCAAGGAGATGCTGGGGATTAATTGTCAATATAAAAACTAGATAAATACAATGAAATGATTGTCTGTGGGCAATATGGCTTTTGACCTTAATGTCTCTGCTATTGGTTACATAAATACATATTTTCAAGATTTTTTTTAGGAAAGAGCTGAATTGTTATTAACTTTCATGAGCTCCAAATCATTTATGTACAAAAATATCAAACTGCAAATCTATAACTTATTTTTAGTTCCACGAGGCCTGGAGGAAGCTGACAGACTGGCTGGAGGAAGCCGAGAAGCGACTGGACTCAGAGCTGGAGATCTCCAACGAGCCGGATAAGATCAAAGTACAACTGGCCAAACACAAGGTACTGAAGCAAGTTATTATACTCACTCAATATTTTCTCTCCTTTGTTGTGTTTCCATCTACAAAACGTTTCCTTTCCCTCCCATTCTCTAGGAGTTTCAGAAAGCTATGGGCTCGAAGCAGCCGGTTTACGACACTACAGTGAGGTCCGGGAGGGCCATGAGGGACAAGGCCCAGCTGCCTGCAGACACCCAGAAAATGGACCACCTGGTGGGAGAGATCCGCGACAAGTGGGACACCGTCTGTGGCAAGAGTGTAGAGAGGTGAGAGGATGAAGGAGGGACGATAAAACATGATTATCCATGTACGATCCAGATGCAGTATATTAATAAAGATGTGTTTGCCGCTCTTCTCCATCCAGACAACACAAGCTGGAGGAGGCTCTGCTGTTCTCAGGTCAGTTTGCAGAGGCTCTGCAGGCCCTGGTGGACTGGCTTTACCGGGTGGAGCCCCAGCTGGCTGAAGACCTGCCCGTCCATGGAGATCTGGATTTGGTGTCCAACCTCATGGACTCACACAAGGTGTGTAAACAGAACTCATCAGATATAAAGGAGATATAAGGCTGCAACTAACTATTTATTTTCTTCATCAATTCATCTACTGATTGTTTTTCAGAATATATATCTAGAATATATTAAAAAAGTGTCGATTCCAGTTTCAAAAAGTTCCAGTTGATGTCTTTTAATTTCTGGTTTTGTCAAAACCCAGATATTCACATTAATATGATGAAAATCAGGAAATACACATCTCAGAGGCTACAATTAACACTTTTTTGCATGAAAATTCACTGGACCGTTATCAAGATAGTTGTCAATTTGGTCATGTAATAAAAGATGAATAATTTTGTTTTATAGTTTATATTTCTTTATTATTATAATATTACAGGATATTCTGATTCTGACTTTGTTCGTCTTTAAACCTGCAGGCTTTCCAGAAAGAGATGGGGAAGAGAACCGGCAGCGTTCAGGCTCTGAAGCGCTCAGCCCGGGACCTGATGGACACCGGGCGCGACGACACGGCGTGGGTCAAAGTTCAGCTGCAAGAGCTCAGCAACCGCTGGGACACGGTGTGCGCTCTGTCCGTCACCAAGCAGACCCGCCTCCAGCAGGCCCTCAAACAGGTCAGACAGGAAGCTGCTGATATACACTTTTCAAACATCACACTGTGTCATTAAATAATGCACAGGACTTTATTAAAAGCCTCTCCCTTACTTTGTTAATAATACCTTTTCTCCCTCAGGCTGAGGACTTCCGTACGTCGATACAGATGCTTCTGGAGTGGCTCTCTGAGGCCGAACAGACGCTCCGTTTCCGTGGCGTTCTCCCCGAAGAGGCGGAGACTCTGCAGGCGCTGCTGCACACACATCGGGACTTCATGGGCACGGTGGAGGAGAAGAGGGCGGACGTGAACAAGGCGGCTGGCATGGGAGAGGGCATCCTGACCCTCTGCCACTCTGACTCCATCACCACCATCAAACACTGGATCACCATCATCAGGGCGCGCTTCGAGGAGGTGAGGAAGGGCGGTCGCCGGGTTTACTTTTTATAAGCATTTTTGTTTAGAGGATTAACACCAGATTTTCTTATTTAATAATTAGAACAAAAGAAGTCTATCATATTTTTTTTAGGAAACAGTTATTTTCAAGACATATCCCTTTTAAGCATGCATCAGCGTTGCAATTGCTGCCAGAAGATGTCATCATTGTACTTGTTTATAACTTTTGAAGCCACATATCTACAGTAAACCTCTTAGATATTGCTGGTATTTTAACCAAATGAACGATTATTGTCATATATGAATTTGTATTTGTCAGAGAAACAAGTTAAAGCACAAGCAGTTACCCCCACCTCATGTTTCCACCAAACTACATTCGAAATACGCAGACTTTTAACGTGAAACTGATTTATACAGTATTTTGTTTTATTCCCAAATTCCATTTGTATTGAAGTGGAGGAGACCTATGCAGGTCATTTGGTTGGTCTGTTTGAAAATCTCCTGAAAAATGATCATGCTTCTATCAAATTCTTTTTTTCGATTGAGAGACCCCTAGTGGGAGAAAATGACTGTGTTTAAATATTATTTTAAAGGTTGTCATTTAAACCTTTGACCATTCCGGTTTAAGATCTAGAAGACCCTAAAAGTATTTTCTTCCTCTCAACCTTTATTTACATGACGACATGATATGCATTTCCTATATTAATTGGCTCAATTTGCTCTACAGGTGCTGACGTGGGCCAAACAGCACGAGCAGCGCCTGGAGACGGCTCTGACCGAAGTGCTCAACAATGCCAACCTGCTGGAGGAGCTGTTGTCTTGGCTGCAGTTTGCTGAGACCACATTGGTCCAGAAAGACACAGAACAGCTTCCTCAGGACATCACACAGCTGAAGACACTCATCACAGAACACCAGGTGGGCTGACCCAAACAGCCAAACATTAGACCTGCCTGTGTTTGTACACTCCAATAACAGTTGTGTGGTCCAGCTTTGCTTACTAATTTCTGTTGTTCTCAGATATTTATGGAGGAGATGACGAGGAAGCAGCCAGATGTCGACAAAGTGACTAAGACCTACAAAAGAAAACCAGCCGAGGCTCCCAGCAGCCTGGCCGAGAGGAGAGGAGCTCGTAAGTCACCTGTGTTTACCTTCAGATGCACAAATATTATCTTCTCCCACTTTTTGACTTTAGCATGAGTATTACTGAACGTTTACGAGAAGGGACTAAGAGGATGTGTTAACCCTTCAGGCAAAAACCAGCAGCAGCAGCAGGCGGCCATGCAGCTCTCTGGAGGAAACCCCCGCCTCAACCAGCTGTGTGCCCGCTGGCAGCAGGTCTGGCTGCTGGCTCTGGACCGCCAGCGCAAACTCAACGATGGACTGGACCGACTGGAGGAGGTACATTTCCTGTCAACACGATCTAATTGAGCCTACATTTAGATATGTAGCAATCTAACAAAAGTGAAACCCTATATTGACATTTTTCTAAATATAAGGCCATTGTTTCTATCGCTATGACATGAAATGTGTAACAGCACTGACTCCATTATCCATTTTCAGCTCAAAGAGTTTGCCAACTTCGACTTCGATGTGTGGAGGAAGAAGTACATGCGCTGGATGAACCATAAGAAGTCCCGAGTCATGGACTTCTTCAGACGCATCGACAAGGACCAGGATGGAAAGATCACCCGGCAGGAGTTCATAGACGGCATCCTGGCATCAAGTATGTGATGAGTGACAATGACGAGGTGGATGTCTTGTTTTTACAGTTATAAAGACAGTAAATGATATGTGGATTCCTGTTGTCTGTCTGCGCAGAGTTCCCCACCAGCAGGCTGGAGATGACCGCAGTGGCAGACATCTTTGACAGAGACGGAGACGGCTACATCGACTACTACGAGTTTGTTGCTGCTCTGCACCCCAACAAGGACGCCTACAGACCCACCACTGATGCTGATAAGATAGAGGATGAGGTGAGGGAAATCTAAAGAAAAGGACATGGAAGATTAGGCATAGTAGTCTGGAAGCATTCATTCAGGGAGTTCTCAAATGTATTTCATTCATTTATTGTTTTACTGACTGTGTATTCTCATTTGATCTGCCTTGTCTGGTTTTCTTTTCTTTTGTAAAGCACTTGTTGAGAAAAGCACTATATATCTTAAGCTCAAAGTTATGAAGTTATTATTCACTGACAAGTTGTTTGTGTTGTTGTGCAGGTGACTCGGCAGGTTGCACAGTGTAAATGTGCCAAGAGGTTCCAAGTGGAGCAGATAGGAGAGAACAAATACCGGGTAAGTTCAGCTCATTCTCTGGATCAATTTCAAATGATTCTATTATATCAACTTAAGATACTATAAATGAGGAATTGCTGAGATTATCAGACGAATACAACAGTTACATTTAAGTGTGATTGATACTTTGGTTAACCGTTCATGAGGTGCATGTGCTTTTTAGACACATCTAGAGCCAGATTGATTTTGTTCTACTGCAAAAACTGTTACTATTTATCATATTGTTGCTTTATGTGTAATAAGAAAATAGCATGTTAAATTGCTAGAATTTACTTTGTGAACACTGTTTGATCCAGGTTTGATTAATGGTTATCTTCACTTGTCTAGCAGGCACCAAATAACTTCAAAACATGACTTCACAGCATTTCTCTTGTTCTTCCATCTCTCATCATGATCTCATGGTGTATTAATAGTTGTCTGCATCATGACATATCATTGCACGTCTCCTGGTCCTGGCACCAGAGAACATTTGAGGCAGTGAAACTCATGACATTTGCTAATAGACTCTGAATCTGCCTTTGGATTCATTTCTGATAACATCACATGTCATGATAGCAATGATATAACATATCTCACAGCCGCCAGGATTGTCAGCTGAGCTCTTTATCATCACCATAACATTAACAAAACCATGTAAATGTGACTGCATAGACACACTCTGCTGGGTATGACGCTGCTGTCAGGTGATTTCCGAACAAAGTAGGTTTAAGGAGTTTTCATCCCTAATCTAGCTAAACCTGTTACAGCCAATAAACCACATTTGGAGGTAAATTAAATTCTGGAATGTTATCCATATTCATCTACTTGTTTATGTTTTTATACTTTATGTACTTACATATTTTCCTTGAAAGTTGTAAAGGTAAAGTTTTTTTCATTTTTGACAAATATGATCATGCTGTTAAATGATGTAACTGCTTCCACACAGAAGAACCCAATGTGGGAGACACATGTGTCCGCCTACCTACAATACAAACAAGTATAAATACGTAAAACATAAAAGGAGGGTTCTGGTCTTGGTTTTCATTTGTGGATTATAATATTAAGTTTTATAAAAAGCTTCAAGAGCTACAATACAGTGATTCCCCCAGCAGTCTGTGTGCATGTGTGCAGCACTTTACAGCGGTCATAAAGTCAGTTTGTAACAGTTGTCTGCAGCACTCACTGGATGTGCTGCAGTATGTGTTCACTCATCATTATCCTCAGGGTAATGATATCCAGCGTCTGGCTGCAGGACATTGGGACACTAACACCACACCAATCGGCTTCTGTCTCATTGGTTGTCTGTCTTGTCTCTGCTCATGTTTGTGTCTAGCTTCACTTTTCTTCACCATTCTTGCCTTCAAGTAACTGTCATTAGCTGAAACATTTCAATTGAGCTTCACCCTATCTTCCTTTGATTTTAAATGTCACGAGGCAGATTTACGAGGTATTCTTAAAATAAATAATGTTTCCTACCTTTGTTATAATTTACCCTTTCAATTGAAACCCTTTCCAAATTATCCTAATTTGACAATAACCCAAAGATACCCTTATAAGGGCATGAGACTGCAGTGCCCTGTGTATAAATGTATAAAAAATAACAAATACTAAAATGCATTGGATGCTATTGACATTATTGTTTCACATTATTTATTACTAGTGTATTTTTATTTATTTTAAAACAACATTCTGCTTTGTAAAATTGTGGAAATAACTAAGATACAAAAAGCTAAAATAACTTATCTTGTTACAGCTGTACAATTTAAAAACAACTTCAGAAAAACAAACATGTCAGCACTTAAATTCTCATGAGTATGCATAGATTCAGATTTAATAAATCCCAAATCCTCTGTTTTCAGAGGATTAAAAAAAAAAATCTTCTCAAGAATGGTTGGTGAGAAATGCCTATTATACACTCTAACATCCGTCATTCATATCCACTGCATCTTTCCGCTTCCACAACTAATTCTAATCTCAAATAATAGAAATAATGAAATGTAACCTTTATTGGAACCAGTATTTAAAGACCTTGTACTCATATAAACTGTACCCATTCCTACATCACCAGCCTCAGTTGTCAGTACGTGTTGTTTCACTCCTGCTCTGTTTCTTTCTCCTTGTGTTCCTGTGCTGCGTGTCTTCTGGATTTATGTAGTTCTTCCTCGGAAACCAGGTAAAGTGACGCTGCCGCTGCTCTGATTGGATGTGGGAAACCTGCTTCCTGTAATCCCAAACCAATGGAGTGCTATAAGGGGCCGTACAGGCCGTAATTCATACTGGTCCTCTCACACTCATACATAAAAAAAAATCATACTTTTACATACATATATTTTCACTCTTACACACATCCGTTTTCGTTGTGATCGCTAAATTCACCTCGTTTCCCCTTGATTATAATGTTGATTTGAATCAGTAGTTCTGAACATGAGCCCGCCCTGCTCGACCTTCTGAGCCGGCCCCTCATAGAGTGCTGTCCTTAACACGCTTACAAAAAAGTACATCTTTATAATAAATCATGATTTTAAAAAAAAAGGAAAGTGGAGCACTCCATTGTGGCTTTGCAACGTGTAAGCAGGTTTCATCATCTGGTTGTGTTCCCGCTGTGATTTGTTTGGTGTTGAGTGTGACAAATTGCACAATGAGAAGTAGGCGACATGCTGCAGTGGTGATTAGTGGTGAGGTGATGTGGACTGAAGCTGGAAGTAACTCAAGCTGCTGGGAGAGAGATCCAGAACATTCCTTCTGTATTCGTCTTGGTGTTCTGCTTTGGTAGTTTAAATAAAACATAGACGCAATATAAACATATGTATAATTTGTATCATTCTTATATTTGGGTGGCTTGGTGAACAGTTCATTAGATTGACTCTTTAGTTCTGCTAGTGCATGTTCTTTGAGTTATTGCATGAAGTATAACACATTGTATGTTCAAATCTAGTAAATGGGCTGCTGTGATTTAATTAAACAATCAATATATCAAATATGACTTCACTCACCGACTGTCTCCTTTTTCTGATTCCCTCACTCTCTTTTCCTTCCTTCCTATTCGGCCTTTTTCTACACTGTTCATTTATCTCTTTCCCTCTTTTCTTCTTATTTCTCTCCGTCCCTCCCCCTTTATTCTACCTCCTCAGTTTGGAGACTCTCAGCAGCTGCGTCTGGTGAGGATTCTGCGCAGCACGGTGATGGTGAGAGTCGGAGGAGGCTGGATGGCTCTGGATGAGTTCCTAGTCAAAAATGATCCGTGCAGAGGTGAGTGATTTATTATGTCTCCCACACTGACACACAAAGACACACACTGACACACACTGACACACACAGACACACAGACACACACTGACACACACTGACACACACAGACACACACAGACACACAAAGACACACACTGACACACACTGACACACACTGACACACACAGACACACACTGACACACACAGACACACACAGACACACACAGACACACACTGACACACACAGACACACAAAGACACACACTGACACACACTGACACACACAGACACACACTGACACACACAGACACACACAGACACACAAAGACACACACTGACACACACTGACACACACTGACACACACTGACACACACAGACACACACAGACACACAAAGACACACACTGACACACACTGACACACACTGACACACACTGACACACACAGACACACACAGACACACACAGACACACACAGACACACACAGACACACACTGACACACACAGACACACAAAGACACACACTGACACACACTGACACACACAGACACACACTGACACACACAGACACACACAGACACACACTGACACACACAGACACACACAGACACACACTGACACACACTGACACACACAGACACACACTGACACACACTGACACACACTGACACACACAGACACACACTGACACACACTGACACACACAGACACACACTGACACACACTGACACACACAGACACACACAGACACACACTGACACACACTGACACACACAGACACACACTGACACACACTGACACACACAGACACACACTGACACACACAGACACACACTGACACACACAGACACACACTGACACACACAGACACACACAGACACACACAGACACACACAGACACACACAGACACACACTGACACACACAGACACACAAAGACACACACTGACACACACTGACACACACAGACACACACTGACACACACACACACACACACACACACACACACACACACACACACACACACACACAGACACACAAAGACACACACTGACACACACTGACACACACTGACACACACTGACACACACAGACACACACTGACACACACTGACACACACTGACACACACAGACACACACTGACACACACACACACACACACACACAACCTTGAGACATGTCTCTCAAATGCCGAAGCAGAGATTCCCCTCATACACACACACACACACACACACACACACACACACACACACACACACACACACACACACACACACTTACACATTAGTTCCCCTCTTGTCTCACTTTCAGGCATTCATATACATTAAGAGCCCGACTGATAAGGATTTTTTTTGGGTCAGATAATAGTTAATTTTTTTCAAGATAAACAGTTTTGAAGTATATCTTCTATATTTTGGTTAATTTAGGAATTTAAGGTTTTTTTTATTTATTTGTGCTGTACTTTCTAAAGGTACCCTTTAAACCTCCAAATGACTTTAGTAAGGAGTTTTGTTCTTAACATATTTAGGATTATAGAATCTATAAAAGTAATAAACAACTTTTCTTTTGAGAGGTGGTCTTGAAGAGACAGGCGTTTTGGGCAGTGTGAATCCAGACAAACAATATGAGAAAAATATTGTGTTATAGAATATAAAAATATTTAACCATGTTTTAGTATAATCCTGAAGTACAAGTATGAACCTGAGAACAGCATATGTTACCTGGTTTGGGCAATCATTTTAGATTATAAAAAAAACATGTCACCAAAGACTCAATCATCCTGTTCTTTAATCTATTCTTCAACAGAACTTCTTCAGTTCTCTTGCTATTCCTACATTTGAGATATTTGTACTGCAATTGTATCTTACTTCATATACACATATTACGCCATCATATACACTCATTACGATACCGAAGGATTGGTTTAAAATGGGGGTTTTTCTATCGCGAAAGAAACGGCTGAAAAACTTTTTAAGATATGTTTAAAAAGTCAATAAAGGGGCCTGATTATTCTTTTGGGGGTTTCTTGGTCGGGCTCTAACACTTCCACAAACACACCCTCCCTGTGTCCTTCACAAAAACAAACACTCTTTCATGGTTCCTGCACTGAGCTCTTGACAGAAGTAAGAGACAACATGCAGATGAGTGCAGTGAGCTGAAGGGGAACAGAGAGTTGTCTGTCAGCAGGTGATGCAGTGAACCGCTGCCCCCCACTCCTCTCTCCAGCGTATCCTACAGTGTCGTCTACATCTGGTGTTTCCCTCTTCATCTCTTATCCCTCAAATTCTCTTATCCCTCAAGTGAATGATCTTACCTTATCACATTTGATTTCTGATTCTATCCTGTCTTATTTGATTCATTCTCTTTCAAATTAAACAGTAGTATTGCATGGTGCATGGTCCTCAGTTCTCTACTTCTTCCTCCCTCCCACCCTCCCTCCTTTTTTCTCTTTCTCCAGTGCAACACCCTGGACTTAAGATCCTCCGCTCCGATTCCAGTAGCTCCATCTCATCTCGTATAGGTTGGACTTCTCTCTCCCGTACGCTTCCACTCTCTCCTAACAGCCTGTCTTTGCTCTTCTCTCTCTCCTGGGCCTTCTCTTTTCTTCCTCTGTGTTCTTCTTCTCTCTCTCCTCTCTGGCCTTGTTGCTGCCTTGCTGACCGTGATCACCTGACTAATGTTATGTTTCCCCACTGTTCTGCTCTTCCTCCCGGTTGTTGCCCCTCATGCAAGTTCTGATATGCTGACTTGTTGTTTTGAACTCTTCTCAGGGGTCACTGGCGCGCGCGCGTGTGTGTGTGTGTGTGTGTGTGTGTGTGTGTGTGTGTGTGTGTGTGTGTGTGTGTGTGTGTGTGTGTGTGTGTGTGTGTGTGTGTGTGTGTGTGTGTGTACACAATCTGTATGAGGAGTGATTTTTGACAGTCTCGACTCCAAAGCCGTGTGTGTGTGTGCACCAGTGTGTTTCTAAGAAGTGATATCTTTATGTGTGAGACTTTTCTTCGTTCCTCCATGAGCATGCTGTATTTCACACGGTCTCTTTTGTCTCTCAGTGACAGTCACTCCTGGCTATTTCTGCTGCCGAGGTATCTACCCTTCCTCTCTCTCTGTCACTCCATCTCTCTCACTCTCCATCCGTCAGTCGTCCAGCTGTCAGTCTCCATCTTTAACCTCGGCTGTCCTCTGTGTGTCTTTATATATGTATATACTGAATGTGTGTGTTTCTAACTGTCAGGTTTGTGTGTTGAGGCATTGATGTCTTGTCTTTGTGCTACATGCAAATCATGCTTCCTTCACTCACACCAAAGCAGGAGCTGGCCAACCCCTGGTCTTGATATTTCTTTAAATTCTATTTTCTGAAGTTCTTTTTTAAAAATATACTTCAAATGAATAAAATGTTGAGCAATAAAAGAAGCATGGATGGAGAGGCCTAGCAGAAAATAAGACATATTGTATGTAGCAGCCAATAGTGCAATAACTACTGTTAATGTAATAACTTAATCATCTACTTCTAATTCAAGTTTAAGTTGTAACTTACGTGTAATGTGATAATAACTCAATCACAATACAATATGTTTTAATTGATACGTTTATTATTATTTTGTTATCATGGGACAAAGCCTCTTCAAAGAGATCTTTATGTCTATAATACATCCTAAGAGCAATTGTCTGTGACACTTGATAATAAATGCAACTTAAAAATAGTGATAGCTAGCCCAGCTTATAATGTATTAACCAGCCAATGATCTAATAACTTATTACATGATGTTTTATTGGTCTGTTATTAGTTATAATCATTTTTGGTAAGTTATGACTTAACTTAATATCGTTAAGAATGACAGTTCAGTTTGCAGCTGCTATAACACTAAAAAACCTTATATTGTTATAGTGCTCGGACGTGTTCTTTCTCTAATGTAAAAAAGTAAACTCCTCACACATGCTCCACAGACAGTGAGACCTGGGAGTGGCCAGCCTGGGTTTCTAACAGCGCTGGCTTCCAACGTGGCTCCTTTAAATGTGAAGGCTGGTTGGTGGGAGACACAATTACAGGGTGCACCTGGCTGGGTGGCGGTGAGGGGGGACCTAATTGCAGGGTGCACCCGTTTAATTGAGCCGCCTTGCTGTTCGGTTGCTAGGGACGATGGCTGCAAGGCTAGGAGTTGCACTGCTGTTACGGCTAGCTGCAGCCTTCTATTCTCTCTTACTCTTCTTTTTTTGGACTTCTTACACTACTTTCTCTCTTTATTAGTTTGTTTCTCTACCATATTTCCTTTCTCTCTCTCTCTCTCTCTCTCTCTCTCTCTCTCTCTCTCTCTCTCTCTCTTTGTGGCTGGCTTCTCCAGGCTTGTTGTTGTCTGCTGGGGCTGCTGCTCTACTTTCTGTACGAGAATGCTGCTAAGTGTGTTATAAAAAAAGGAGAAACCCTGAATCTCTGGGCAATCTCCCGCTAAGCATAAAGCAGGCATGACCTCCACATGTTCTCATACACGCTCTGTGAGACACAGCACAGATGCTTCTCCGCAGCGAGAAGGAAAATAAATTCAACTGGGAGACATTGGTGAAAAACGAGAGAAGAGAGGATGTGCTTTTTGCTCCCACCAAACCTTAGATGTTTTCATGCAAATACGCAATGAAAGTATGTGGGCATTTTTTTCACTAAACTGGAGACACTTGCCATTGCTACAAGGAAGGGTTTAACATTATGGGAAATATGCTTTCAGAGAGTCAACGTCAAACAGGCTAGCCTCTTTTTCACCACCTTTTTTGACTCAATCTGTGATGACCTTCTATAGCTCTCTGTCCTGCTGTTATTCAATATATGCTTGACTTACCCGACTCCCCCATAGACTTATCTGTTAAGCCGTATTGAAGTACAGAAGCTGATGGGAAATACTGTCTGTTAAATGCTCAATAACCAAAAATATATTGAATGAACAACATTCCATTCTTTTTAAAAGGTCAAATGATGCATATGAACCAGGTCACACCACATACTGTAGATTTTGAATGATTTTCAACAGGCTTTGTGTCATTGCAATGTATTACAGTATTATCGGCAACTGGGCCCACTGCTGGCAAAAGTTTACCGTATGTCAGAAACCGTGTCATGTGGTGTTATCTAACTGACTTTAGCAGACGGGTGGAAGGTGAGCATTGCAACAACACGAAACCGGTTGAGAATTGGCACATATTCAACGAAATCCTCTGGAAGAAAACAGATAAGCGTTTTTCCCAAAACTCTTTAATCAGCACTGTATTAGCTGTTTTGTTATTATATCTTATTGAGAAGAACAATTTCCATAGTTAGTTGAAAAAGACCTCTGGAGTCAAGTGGTGAATTTGTCTGCACCGATGACACTGTGTCTCCAAAACGTGTCCACTTTCGTTGCGTATTCATTTAATTCATTTACTTCTATTTTAGCTCTCAAACCAAACACAGTCACTCACCTCTCCCCTTAAAAACTTCCTAACCAAAGTGCACTTATTGTACGACTCCTTAACACCTGAACCCCTCACGTGCACTCTTGAATGACACATGCACGGACTTTGAAGTCTGCAGCAAAGGAAGCACTGAATCTCTCCCTCACTGTGCTTGCTGCCTCTGCCGCCCCCTGCTGGAGGAGAACTGTGAGCCCCCCCTAACAAACTGTTGTGTCTCTGCAGCTCGGGGCCGCACCAACCTGGAGCTGAGGGAGAAGTTCATCCTCCCTGAGGGGGCGTCTCAGGGTCTGGCCGCCTTCCGGTCCCGAGGGCGGCGCTCCAAGCCGGGGTCCCGTAACGCCTCGCCCACCCGTTCCTCCTCCTCGGCCTCACACAGCGGGGCCTCGCTCCCCTCAGCCCCCTCCACCCCCGCCACACCCACAGCCTCCGCATCATCCAGGGTAAGAGATCACATATAGAGTATTAAACATATGTTTAATTAAATCAAGAGTTGAGGTACTGCCTCTGTCGAGCTTACAAATATGTACAGCCTCATCTGTCTTTGACGACAAACATTCATAGCTCATTGTGTGTGTGTGTGTGTGTGTGTGTGTGTGTGTGTGTGTGTGTGTGTGTGTGTGTGTGTGTGTGTGTGTGTGTCGGACAGAATGAATGCACATTGGTGACTTTGTGTGTGTTTATGGGTTTATGTTACACATTGTTCAGTAGTTGTTGTCATCCACCTGTTGTTGTTGTCACCACATCCTTAACTGTGATTTATTTTTTGTTTTTGTTTGTTTTTGTTCTCATTCATCTTTTTGCCTTTTCCTGCTAACCTGCCTACAAAATCGTCCTTTCTAAATGGTTGGGTTCTCGGTTTAAAAAAAAAAATCACTTTTGCACAAAAACACACTGCGCTGCACTTCCTCGCTTTTCAAATGCTCATTCCCTTCCCTCCATAACTTCCTCCTTCCTTTGTTTGCTCTTCTCTTTTGCTGCTTTGCTCTCCTCCACCCTTCCTTCTTTCCATCCATCCTTCCTTGCTCCCTTTCCTTCCTTCCTTCAGTCCTCCCATACTCACTCTCGTGACTATGCCAAGCCCTGGCTGACACACAGTAAAACTCCAACGCCATCCAAGTGCCAGTGCTGCCCCGACCTCGCTCACAGCCCCACCAGTCCCGGGCACGAGGTAACACACTCACCCCCCCACCACCCCCCTGCTCCGCCCGACCCACCCCCCTGAACCGCTACTGCACTAACGCACACTCCCGGTTGATCACACACCAACACGTAGAAACTAAGGCTGTGTGACGTGTTTTTTTATGTTTGTATAAAAGATGAAATCATCTTCGGAGAGTTCTGAAACTGTTCCAACCTTCCAGAACAAACAAGGTGGTCGAGCTAAAACATGAAACATGACATTTGGAAGTTGCAGGGTTTTCAACAGGATTATATTTCTGGTGTCTTTTACACTTAGGTTATTGATAATGATATAGAACAACTTTAGGAACATCATAAAAGCAGTTTGATCAAATCAAGTTTATTGTTTAAGCCCAATATCACAAAACACATCTGTCTCAGTGGGCTTTACAGAGCAACATAAATGACAGTGCTAAAAGATTCAATTCAATTATTAGAATATCATAAAATAACAATATAGAATTTAAAATACAAATAAAACTAGATTAAGATACAATTAGATAAAATATAATACACTGGGTTAGGGTTAGACAATGAAATAAAATAAATAGTTCAAAATAAATTATTTTGACTTTTCAAATTAGAATTATTTTGATTGTGGGCCCAACTCTTATCACTTATTTAATGTAGAGTTGAAAAAAGGTGTTAAAGAAATGATAAGTAAATCAAAAACAATTCTTTCCCAACTGTTTTTTATAGTCGGTTTCTTTTTTTTTACACAGGGTTTTCATTTATTTAAATGTCTATTTTTTATAAAAAAGCTTTATTATTTGAATGGGATGATGAACCTTCAAAGTGTTATCACTTCTCAATTGCAATAGCAATCTTTTTTTCTTTTAATGATATTAAGTTGATATAGTAATAAAACAGCATTTCTTTACTATAATAAAGCTCTAGATCAATGCTTAACTCCTTATGGAATATATAAATACAAACCGTTCAAAATGATATTAATCATTCTTCGAAATGTGCGTGTCTTTGTATGGTTATCATTTGTTGTTATATCACATGTCTCTGTCAATGTGTATTTGATGTTTGTTTGTTTGTTTTGGTGTATTGTGATGGTTTGAAATACTGCTGTGTAGTTCTCCTCAGCTGATGTGTCCTGATGTTGTTCTGCAGGGGGCCGCGTCGGGGTCCAAACTGAAGAGACCGACGTTCCACTCCAGCCGAGGCTCGCTGAGCGGAGAGAACGGAGGAACGCCGCTCTCCGGAAAACCAGCACGCGCTGGTGAGACAACGCTCACATCTTTTGATGTCCACTGGTAGCCAGTGGAAATAAAAAATGAGTTTTTAACTTTATGATTGAATCTTTAACCATATGAAACCAAGAGTCTGCGCTCATGCTAGCGCCTCTATATGGTCCTAACTAGGCACAGAGGTGCGTTAAGCTAAACGCTAACATAAGCATTTATCAGGTAATGTTTATCTTCTTAGATTGTTGTTGTTAATTAGCACTTAACACACAACACAGTTAAGGTTATGGGAATGTCGTTAGTTTTGCGCGTATAGCCAAAATGTGGGATAAAGGAAAGTTTTAAACTGATGATGATGCTAGATGAAAAGTTGAAGATTTATTAAACTTGTTACAATTTCATGGAAATCCATCTTAAGTTGTCGAGACATTTTACCACAAATATGAACCTTACCTGTGCGCTAGATTATGTTTCTACAAAATGTACTGTCGCTCTATGGAGACATCTCACTTATATGTGAAAACGTTAACCACATGGTTGGGTTAAATAGAATGTCATGGGTCAATCAAATCAGAAGGGTTCCTCCTCTGGGGACCATGGATCTCTAGAGAAATCCTCTTATATTTATTGAGATGTTTTAGTCTGGCAGATGAAATGACCAACATCACCACCCACAAAGCCCTGCCCTAATTTTCCTTTTAAGAAACGAATGCTCTGCTTCGTGATTAAGCCCAATTTTCTTCTCTCCTGTCCTTGCTAGATCCGAAGCGAGGGGGCTCCACAGCGAGCGGGCAGGCGAGCCGAGCGGGCAGCCGGGCAGGCAGCAGAGCCAGCAGCCGGAGAGGCAGCGACGCTTCGGACGCCTCGGAGCTGCAGGACGCCCGCTCCGTCTGCTCCGACGCCTCGGACACACCACGACGACCCGGGGCCAAACCATCCAAGATACCCACCATCTCTAAAAAAGCCCCCAGCCCAAAGACCCAGGGGGCTGCGAAAAAATAATTCAGCAATAGAAAAACTGGAGTAGAAGCGAGTATCATCGGTGCACCAGCTCTTCAATCTGAGTCCATCTAACAGGGCTTGAGGAGAGTTTGTGCACTGTGACATTTTCCAGGGGAAAGAAGGAGATGGATAGGATGGTGAATCTCCTTCTCACTCTTTCCCCGCTCTCATGGACGGACTGAGAAAACATGCACAACAGGAGGAGGGATTCTGTTCCCAGGTCAGAATCTGTGGGGTAGAAAACCGACTTTTCCCCTTTAAGAAGCAACCCCATTTTGCCTTCCAGTCTCCTGCTTTGTCTTTCAAAAGTTCCCCCCCCAAGCGTGGAACCAAACCCCAAAGTGACTTGACGTGATGCTGCCTTACTTACTCACTTCTGTCCCTAACAGACGCAGAAACAGAGAAAGTCTTTAAACTGCTTTATACCACACTGACACAAATACACACGTTTTCAAAGAGAAGCAGGGTAGGGAGTGGGACACGCCACCACCACGGCTGCAAAAACAAAGAAAGCCCAAATGAAATTCAGAAGAAGAAAAAAAGAAAGAGAGAATTGTGGGTCATTATTTTGGCTTGTGGGCCAGATGCCTCAGCGATGAGTCTAAAAAGAAAATATGCAACGACTGCCATGTCTCTTCCTCTGGACTGGTTGGTAGGGAAAACGCTCACCTCAGCAGATCTGTGTGTGGGGAGGCGGGAAAACGTTGTCCGACACACACACACACACCGGCTAACCTCAGACTCAGAGGGTGGGTGGTGGTGACGGAGCAAACACTCACACACTCGCACCACAGCGCAGACTCCTCTCGACCGCTGGAACGTAACATCAGCCTTGTGTGTGTGTGTGCATTTCAGCAAAGGGCGGTGTGGTTTGGTCACATGCCGGCGTAACAATCCAACAGGAATATCACAAACTGGCAAAAGAGAGGACTATTTTTAAGGTGACACTCACTAACAGCACATTACTGACAATATACGACATGTGTAACCCGATGTTCGACAACCAGCATGCACTAATTGTCTCTTCCTCTGCAGTCCCACCTTAATGTCTACGCTGCGTCGCCCTGAGCAACTCAGCAGCACACACACACAAGGTGGTGTGCTTCATTTGTGTATTTGTTACAGGAAATGATAGAGGTCATTGACATGAGTCACTGTATGCAAACATTTTAATTTGCGAATGTCCTTTTTTTGTTTTTCTTCTCATTGTTTTCTGGTTAATTTATAATCCAGTTGTACTTTTGTTATCTAGCTTGAGAGAAAAATCTATTTATTTTTCAGTTTCATGTCATATCACCGTTTGCGGCGTGTGATTTAGTATTATGGTTAAAGAAATTGTGTTTTTTGTACCAAGGAAGTGTCTGCTCCGCTCCGTTTGTGTGTTTCTACTTCATTGTAACATTACATTACTCACTAGGTCGTTGATTCTGGTGACAGCCTTGTTTGTTCTTTTCTCTTTTTTTGCTAATGACTACAATTCCCAGACCATGACCAAAGGGGTTTGCCCTTCATGTGTAGAGAGAACTACAAATATGAATAACAGGAGACCTGGTCAGAGCGGACCAATGAGAGCGGGTTGTCTTGCCTCATGTCCGTCCCCAGCATTTCTTCTTCTAGGCTTTTTTTCAAATACCCGTCATTGGCGGGGCAGAGTTGTCTCTGTGTTATCTCAGTGTGAGAGATGAAGTTTATGAAAAACTAATAAAATTACATTAAGAAAGAAGACATCTTAAGGTGATTTTTATTTATTTATTGTCTCTCTGAGGGGAGGGGGATTCGGGGCGCAGGAGACGAGTCCTCCACCTTTTGATGCTGTGCTACTCTCAGTGTGATGACGAAAACATGGAGGGAGGGGTGTTACTATAGGAGTCAATTGTGTAAAAGTAAAACTAAAAACTAAAATTATAAACAACGTTTTTGTTCTGTTTTTGTATTAAAAATATGCTTGCAGTAAAAACTTGTCTCTTGTTCTGCTTGGTATTCTGACCATTTATAAATGTTCTGCATTTTATGTGTGTGAATGGGTTTGGTTTGTTAGACTTTAAATTATTGGTCAATTATTTGATTATTCAATTAAACCTAGCAGTTTCACGTGCTGAATTAGTGTCAACGACCTAATTTAATAGAATGATCTGTCAATTGATCAAACTGTATTTTTAGGCATTTCAATTTGGACATTTCATATACAGTGGGGCAAAAAAGTATTTAGTCAGCCACCAATTGTGCAAGTTCTCCCACTTAAAAAGATGAGAAGTCTGTAATTTTCATTAGGTATACCTCAACTATGAGAGACAAAATTAGAAGAAAAAAATCCAGAAAATCACATTGTATGATTTTTAATGAATTAATTGGTAAATTCCTTGGTAAAATAAGTATTTGGTCACCTACAAACAAACAAGATTTTTGGCTCTCACAGACCTGTAACTTCTTCTTTAAGAGCCTCCTCTGTCCTCCACTTAACTGTATTAATGGCACCTGTTTGAACTCGTTATCAGTATAAAAGACACCTGTCCACAACCTCAAACAGTCACACTCCACTATGACTCCACTATGGCCAAGACCAAAGAGCTGTCAAAGGACACCAGAAACAAAATTGTAGACCCTGCACCAGGCTGGGAAGACTGAATACTGAATAGGTAGCAGCTTGGGTGTGGAAGAAATCAACTCGTGTTGAGCCAATTATTAGAAAATGGAAAGACACTACAAGGACCACTGATAATACTCCCTCGATCTGGCGGGCTCCACGCAAGATCTCACCCCGTGGGGTCAAAATATCACAAGAACGGTTGAGCAAAAATCCC